CCTCTTCGCTGTATCTATATGGGACCAACACCAAAAGCACCACGAACATGGTGCTCAATGGCAATACACCCATAGCAAAGCAAAGTGACAATGCTGGTGGATGGGGAGGAGTCATTGCGGCGTATCTGTACAATTCATGAAGACGACGGGTATATACATTGGGTGATATGATTATGGGTTATACATATAAAATTGAGAGCTAATAGTGATAGATAATGTCTACTAAGCAGTACAGACTTGGAAAAATGACACATCGTATATGACCTGTACGAGTCCTTAGGAGCCGCAGTCCGTAGTTCAAATCGCCAACAGCTCGCTATTTTCAGTTGGAACAGATAATCTTCAGGATTGACCATCTATTTGATGTTCTCTACATGTCGGTTTATATGTTTTGGATTCATTGTTCAAGTATTAGGAAAACCCTCTGCATTACCTGACCCTTGCATGAGTCACCAACGTGGAAGCCATCTGCTTTATACACTCGACTTGATGACATCGAAAAGCCTATACGTCCCAAGACTCTGAAAATAGGCAACCCGAGTGTGATTGACGATGGAATCCGACCTTGCGTAAGGCTTATTCATATCAATACTGGCACATAGACTCGTTCAACATCATATTTGGTAATGTTATGTTCTCATGGATAGAACCATTACACACTCGTAGCAGCCGTAGGTTAGGGTTCAGGGTTTCATCCGTCAGCTTCAGAACCCAATAGAGACACTTGTCCGCCCTTTTCTCAGAGTCCATCAAATCCTGCTTATTCGAGGTTCCTAAGGTCTCAATTCTGTACTCTGTACATAATTCTGAAATCGACAAATTAGACGATAATACGCCTTTTATGGTGTAGTGGACTTGACTGGATCGGGCCGCAGTCCACTTGGGGGCGAAGACTTTATTTAGTACTTGGCTTCGGTCAACTTGACAACAACATCGTCATCTGTATCAACCAGAAACAACACAGCAAGGCATTGAAACCTAATTCATCAAACCGATATAATGCATCCAACCACAGTCAATCTGCAGTTTGAGATTTCCAATCAGCTTGAGCCATGTCAAATCCTAATCTGTTTTTCCTGGTCGGTTGCTTAACTTGCTTCTACAGGTGGCTGGGATGGGATGAGGAGGCTGGGCGTCGCTCATTTGACTCCATTGTCCAACCACCCAACCCAATATCCACAATACGGACATGACAGCCTCCTCATCCCATGACAATCTTTGAATCATCATTTTTCTCCCTCGCATATCATTCTCTGCCTCTGGTCATCCATGTGAAAGTGAGGTGACCGCATACATTCTTCGGTTGTCTACAGCCGTCATGAATGTCCCGGGGTCGGGAAATGTGAGTCTGAGGACTGTCAGCTGTAAGTGAAAAAAGGAAATTGAGAGGCAAGCTTGATCTATCATAGTCGCACTCTCACTCTTCCACCTCCCCTTACTCCTTCTATGGCTGCCAGGCAAGATAAAAGGCTCTGCAGGGTGCTGACGGTTCATCGCAGCAAGCAGACCACAGCTGCTCCGTTCCGAATCTCAACAGTCAATTGCTGCGTCGGATGATTACTATTCCCTGTCGGATCGTACTACGACGTCCGGTTCTAGAACTCCAAGCGCGGAGAGTCGTCTCACCGTCCAGCGGTATGCTACGCCGAATTCCCACCCTGTCTCCAACGCATCATCTCCCGCGTTATCTCGAACGCATCTAGGCGCCAATATGGCTGGTTCTCGATCGCAACATTCAATTCCGGAACAATCTCGAAACCGAAATGTTCCACCCTCCGGACCCAGTCCAGCTCGACTCGAGCAGGGAAGACTGATCCCCGTCAGCGGCATATCCGACGAGTCCATTCGACATGTACCAAACGATAGTTATGCCGGTCGCTCGCCGACTCCCGGGACGGACGACTTGCCCTACATTCGATTCGCCATTAATCAGCTCACACGGGAAGACGAGCCGCGGAGCTTATCGAGGCAGTCCTCGGCCGCAAGTGTCGAATATCCGCCACAGCCTCTTGTATGGGATGCAGCTCTGGGCCAGTTCACCCGTCCCTTGAAGCCTAAAGGAAGTCCATTACGGCCTCCAGAAGAACGATTACACCAGCAGAGTCCGCCAGGAAGGTCGCCACAGAGCTCGGTTGATCCGGAGGCATTTGTTGCGGTCGACCCTCCGGACAATAACCTGCTTTACCCCCCGTTGAATTTTGTGCCTATTGTACTACGACCATGGGCATTGGCTCTGGCCATTCTTTCTTGTTTGCTCATGATTGCCGGGGTTATCTTCTGCAATATCTGGTCTCAGCGACACGAAGGAATCTGGGACTACGATGGACAGGGAGGCTCACGATATTTCGTGGTTCAATTTTTACCACAGATTCTGGCCGCTATTATCACCATCTGGACATTCGTAATCCAGGCGGCTGTATACCGGGTCATGCCATTTGAAATCATGGCATCCGAGAAGCTCCATGATCGCGTGATACAGACGCTGCCAATTCTGTCACGAAACTTCCTGCTACCTGACTGGTCGTATTTCAGGCATGGAGAGCCCTTAGCTGGGTGTGCTCTGCTTACGATCTGGATCTCAAACCTCATTACCATCCCGCTTCTCAGCTGTTTCTTCCAAGCAAAGTGGTACCTGATCAGTGGCGAAGGGCAGTGGCGATGGAATGCTGTCATAGCTGTCGGGTGGGCGCTTGTGGCCGTTTACGCGTTACTTGCTCTTGGGCTGACAACGCTCCTCATTCGCTTTATGCGGACATGGTCTGGACTGATGTGGGATCCTGTCAGTCTGGCTGACCTGATTCCTGTCATCCAGCGATCCAACATTTTGCATGACTTTGAACAATCTGAGACACTGCCAGATGTCGGAAGTGTGCTTGGGCCCAGAGTCCTCCGGCTAGGCTATTGGCAGGTGTCCAACCGTGCTGAGATCTTCTACGGAGTTGCCGAGGTTGATGCCCCGATACGGAATCCATCTCTGCATCGACCAGAGACGAGCCGTGAGAAGCAACCACTAGTCTCCAGGGTCTCCTTCGATATCGAGCGACGGAGCACTCATGCGGCCGAAGGTTTTGAACAACAACTATACTCCCAATCTGTCCGTTATCGCTGGGCGCCGTGGTTTCTCAAAGACACCTTTGTGGTCGCTTGGTCGGTGATTATCGGTGCGCTTTTTATTGCGTTCGTGCTCGTCAGCTTTATCCACGATGCCATTAAAGGCGGATTTCCTCCACGGCTACCAACATTGCCCTCGACGGGCGCTTTCTCATCCTCAAACTTCCTGTACAGCTTTATCCCTGCTTTGATCGGTAATATTCTGTTCCTCTCCTGGCAACCGATTGATGTCTACTTCCGTGCACTGCAGCCATATGCCACTTTGTCCTCTCCGGATGGCGCTCGAGCGGAGCAAAGTCTATTGCTAGAATATCCCGCATCCTTTCCTCTTCAGGTGACGGTGCAAGCTATTCTGAATGCGCACTACAAAGTGGCATGGATTTCTTTCGTGAGCATCGTGTCCGCAGCTCTCCCTATACTGGCTGGAGGCGTCTTCATTGCCCTCTCGTACCCCTCACACGGAGAAGTACGAATTGCTGCACTAATGCCTGCTTTCTATGCATTGGTTGCCTTCTGCGCTCTATACACCGTATCCTTCTTGTGTATATGGCCCCGCAGATACAGATATCTTCCTCACGACATCAGCACAGTAGCAGACCAAATCAGCTTCCTTTACCAAAGCCCGCTTCTTGCCGATAAGCTCCTCCGCGAACCCAGAAGCAAGACTGATCTTGTCACTCGACTAGTGACAACTCCCCCGGGAGAGAGGGAATATCCAATGTACGGCTTCGGGATATATGTTGGGCGTGATGGGAAAGAGCATCTCGGAATAGACCGTTTCCAACGACCTGGACGGTCCGATATGCTAATTACAACTGGAAAGATGGAAGGCTGATTGTCCTATTCCTTCTTTCAACGGCAAACCCGGTGCGATTATTCATGCAATGATATGTTCCATGAACTTGGTTATGCTACGAGCCTACGAAGCACTTTCAAATTTTCACTCATGATTGAATGAAGACGATACGACGATGTCACGCGGAAAAATTAATTACGATGACTTATGACAACGATGATGTATGCTTAAATGCGACGACTTGCTTCTTATTTTTCGTGATATTAGCGCCTCATTTTCTGCATGTTCTAATACCATTTTGTTTCGGTGATACTCTGCTATGTTTTACTGGGTTCTGAATATGCTCTCTGACTTTTCTCCGTTTTCAAAACATCCCCTTGCGATGGCATTGTACAGGCGCCTATTTGCTTTTCCCAGCTGTACCCCAATAGAACACAAATAATATCATGAAGCTGGAGTGACAGCATCTCTAATTCTCTATCTTAGTTTGATAAGATCAGATATCGTCCGCCAAGATTGAGTTCTCACCGGATCGATTACCCGGGACCAGAGGAGAATCAATTCTCGCCAGCGCACCAGCAGACGGCGTCACTGCTGAAAGGGTGGTTTGTCTGGCCGTGCTTGAATAGTCTCTGCTCGCTAGGGCTGTTTACGCGGTTATCAACTGACATGGATGTCAGTGGGTCACTGATATGCCCTTTTGATGGTGCTTTGGGGTAGCCTTGCTTCGCCATCAAACTGGGGGAGCTTTCTATTTTACGCATAGTGTATTATTAGATACAAACAACGATAAGCCTAATTTCTTTATGGGACTTACAATGAGATGAGTCTGCAGCTACTGGCATAGCAATTTAGCACGTGACCTCAGCAAATATCAACTCCGCATGGTTATCGCCGCCTCGAGGAGACCCTTTGAACCAGAATCCGTTTGACTTTACTTATTCCTTAACACGACCGGCTTCCAAGTCCTCTCTCCTTCTCCTTGCGCCAGATCTATCTCATTGTGCATGCGTCGGCTTAAATTTATCAACTTCAACTTCACCTAAGCAAGTCCACCACTCGCCACACCAACAAAATAACTCAGCTCAACACCATGCTCTCCTTCTTCAACTGGGGTCCCAGCCCAAGCCCAACCACAGACTCAAAATCGACGTCTTCAGCACCCTCCCAACCAGACTCCATCTCCGGATCAACCGGACCGCAACCACAGCCGCAGCCAACGCAATTGCAACCACAAAAACATCTCACGAACCTCAAACTCCTCTTCGGCGGTGTGACCTTCTTCACCCTCTCGCTGCTCATCACCCGCCGCGCCTTCAGCAAGCGCGTTATCGCCTCCACACCGCCCTACTGGACGTCGTCGGTGTACCACCGGCCCCCCGTCAACGGCGCGGGGGACGCTTTCGAGGCTCTGAGCCTCGCGACGCTGAATGTGTGTTCGTTTGCGATGATGGCTACGGGCGGTGTGCTTTATGCGCTTGATATCAATAGCGTGGAGGATATGCGGCGGTATGTGAAGAAGGAGATGGGGACGGGGACGGTGCGGGATGAGGAGGTGGAGAGGGAGGTGGAGGAGTGGGTGACCAAAGTGTTGGGGGAGAAGTTCGGGGTGGAGTTGAAGAAGGAGAAGGAGGAAACAGCAAATGCTGAAAAGAAAGGGGAGTAGAGGAGAGGTTCTAGAATCAAATGTACAATGAAACATCATCCTCTACTCTTGTATACTAGTCATATCACGAATCATGAACTGCATTCAGACTGTACAGCTTATATTATTATACTGGGTCTGGTCCCGCTACTTGTCCATCCGTTCGTATCGCTCCCGCGCAGTCTGTCTCGTCTTCTCCAGGAACTCATCGTACCGGTTGCGAGTGTTGCGTCCCGCTTCTTCGACCGCATCACCCAGCTTGCTTCCTTGCGCACCCAGTCCGACACCCTGCGCATACACCTCCGTGGCTATCGGGGCGGTCATGCCCGTACCCTGAGCTCCCAGCCCAGAGCCGGCCGACCAACCCATCTTGCTGAGGAGCGATGCACCCTTCGATGTTGTCTCCACTGGTGGCTCGTCCTCCTCCTTCGGCGCAGCAGGCTTGGGCTTGGTCGACGTTCGCGAGCTGCCAAACGCCTTTCGACGTTCCCTTGCACGGTCCCTGTACTCGGGGGTAGACTGAACGATGCCATGTTTAATGAGCTTGCCCATTGCTTTGGATTTCAATTCGTCGTTCTGTAAATTATCACGATGCAGCTGACTGAGACGTTCGTGTCTGTTGACGTCAGCTGAGCTCTTGAATTGCCGCATGCACAGGTAGCAGCAATTCCGATTCAAATCAGCATAGGATTGTGTGGGAGGAGCCGCAGCATCGGCCGGCGACCCACGGCTTTCCACGCCGCCGTCGCTTCCCTTCTCCTCTGCGTCCCTTTTCTGAATGCCATGCAGCTCAGCATGACGATTACTCCAGAACTGCAGATGAGAGGGTACCGCAACTTTCTTGGACGCTGCGCTTGCTGCGGCGTCTGCTTTTCGCTTCCTTGCCTTCTCTGCGTCTTTTGAACTCTTCCCTTGGTTTTCCGCTTGCCCCTGCGCGGTCGATACTTGGTTATTGTCCAACTCGGCAGTCGACACTGTCAATTCTGTCGCATATGCCTCCTCATCCCAGTACATAAGCTTCAAGGATGGGTTACTGAGGGGACTGAAGGTGAACCGGTCCGTGCTCGCCGAAGGATTGATGACAGGTACAAACACGCCAGCGTGTATGTAGCTTACAAGCACAGGCTTTGAGGAGATGGTAAATTTTTCAAATGAATGAAGTCGCGCAACAGCCGCTTGGGCATCCTGCGAGAACTGTAAGCTTAAGCGAGACATGGAAGATCATAACAAACGTACCTGAACAGTGGCGAATTCCGCAAATCCATAGCGCCAGCTCTCGTTGGTTTTGCGGTCTCTGACCAGTAAGACACGGCGAATAGAGCCATCTCTTGCCCCAAGGTTGGAATCACCAGTGGTGGAAGCCACCTTGGCCCCCTTCCTTTGGTTCTCCGAAGATCCACCCGAGCCGGGAGTAGGTCGATAGAGCTTAGCCACGCCCTTTGCAAGAAGCTCTTCGGTGACAGAATGCTCTAGCCCTCGGAAGAGAAGAAACTGCGAAGGTTGATTGTCTGGAGCCGCATCATTGTCGCCGTTGTTCTCAACCTTCGGAGCAGCAATTCCAGGTGGACCAGCCGGGCCAGCCTCTGCGCCCTGTCAGAAACTCACTCTTTATCAGACCGACGGAAGGACTTACCAGGCCGGGGCGCTTGGCATCGGAAGCATTTATTACGAGTCGAGTAGTTAACGATGGCGCACTGTAATAATCCAGGTCAGCTGTCTACATTTGCAATGGCCCAACCAACCCACCATTTTGCAGGTCCAGTCAGCGTCGGCCCTGGCACGAGCGCGATCCTCCCTCTCGCGGCTATAGGCGATTCGGACTTTGGTACCCTTGTCATTATTGCCGGCATTAGGTCCATGCAGATAGATCGATGGGAAGTTGCGGTCCATAAAGTCGCGTGCAAAGTCAAGGTTCCTAAACCTGAGGAAGCCAAGTTGCCGTGATTTTTCTGTACAAGTCAGACACTTTAGCGCAAATTGCAATAGAAGAGGAACGCACTGGTTTGTCGGTCACGGATCACCCGAACTTCTTCTATACCTTCGACATAGTAAAAGTCTCTGAGCTCATTCGAAATCTGTTCAACACGTCGACCGGAGCAGACCCGGTGACATGCACATCTCAGCCTCTTGCCATCAAGGACGTGTTTGTGACATGGAGCGTAGCTCTTAAACTCCAGAAATGAAACTTCAAGGGGGGAAGGAGTTTTCCAACGTCTTCTTCCGCCATATCCACCGGCAACCCATCCATCATGACTTCTCTGCTTTCCTTTTCGTGGTAAGGCTGTCGACTTCGACGAGGGCTACGGCTGCGACTGTAGCTTCTACTACGACTGTATCCGGGTGAACGATATCCCTCACGATCACGATCTCTGTAGGCCGGCCTGCCGCGCCGCGGTGGCGGTGATCTAGAAGGTCGCCGGCGATAGTCATCGCGGTCGTGGCTTCGATAGCGAGGTCGGGAATCGAGTCGGTCTCTCGATGGTTCGGGTCGCCGATCTGCAGCTGGGCCTCGCGGAGGGCCACCTTCACTCAGAGAACACTGTTAGTGAATCTCTACCTGTAGAGGAATATATGGCCTCTCTAACGGCTTGATAACATGTGGGGAAAGAGAGGGTTTACCGCCAGGCGATCGTGATCGGGAAGGCGAACGATCATCGTACATACGACCGTCCCGATCGTCACGGCGCGGGTAGGGCCGATGAGAGGATCCCGGGGGAAATCTGCTGTCTTCCGGATCGAAATGTGACATGATGACACCGCAAGAAAACTGTGATGGAGCCTTGGAGAAGGAGAGTCGACTGACGGAGACTCATACAGATATCCGGCAGAATCCTAGACCGCCTTCTGAACTTAACTGTCGCTTATACTTCCCAATCGGGCGAGGACTAGAACTATAACATTTCCCAAGCCACGCATCATCGCCAGGTTGTTAAGTTCGACACGGCCTATAGGCTTCATTCAAATAATTGACGCTTTATCTACTCATAGATTTCCTAGGATAAGTGGATTAAGAGACCAAACCGTCCTGTGCATAGTCCCATTTGCCTTTGATGAATACTGCAATGTTAACATTTTCCAGCAAACTAGCTACCGCAAAGCATGCCGTCTCTTCTGGCCTAAACGTGGTATTGGTTTACTCCTTCAGGTGAATCTCTGCCGTAAAATCGAATCCACCCCTGATAATAACGAGATCGTCATTGCGTGCAAAGAGGATATCCCGCCGAAGCACGGCGCAAATTACGTCCCGCGACCCCGCGACCCAGTCGTACGGGATGAAGAAATGCCTGCTGTATGATGTTATATCAGGTGTTCGATTTTCTAGTCTCACAGAACATACCCAGGAGCCGGTGTCGAGGAAGACCAGTCTACTAGATTCGCAAATTCCAATAACGTGTGCGACCCTCTGTGCCAGTAGAGCGAGCCTTGGCTCCACTGGTGAAACCAGCGGCTCACCTTCTTGCACGCCTTGACCTTCGACTATTGATAATGGTGCTAGAGCGTCGTCTAAGCCTGTTGATACTGCGACGACATCCTTGACGTTGTATTTATTATTAGCTTCGAAGGATTGTGCGTCCAGAAGATATAGGTTCTGAGTCTTCGCCGGGCCGCCTGATTCGGAGAGCTCAATAAGAACACCCTTTGCAGTATGAAACGCAAATTGTTTGATGCTCTTAAACTCCAGCTCTCGCACACTGATGTCAAGTGACACAGATAGGACCTGTAACCACTTATCCCAAGTATACACTCGGACAGCTGTACTTTCAAAGCAAATTGCGTGATGTGCTGAGCGTGGATGCTGCACCCATTTCCGCACGCCTAGCCTATCGGTATATATTCGTGAATTCTCCTCGTGGCCATCAACTTGCCACAGATGATCTGATTCATGCGTTGATATGAGGAACTTGCCAATTGCTTTCGACGTGAGCAATTGAACGATGGAACTGCCAGACTCTAGTCGGGACTGAAATGCCATTCTCTCGGCAACCCATTCGCCTTGTGCCGACTTTCTCACATTCCAGGCGAGTATCTTGTTTGATACATCAATGCTGATAGCTAGGTCATGTTGAGTCCACCATTCCAAGATGCGAACTGGTGAGTTGTGACGGCAGATTTCAAGCTTCCTAGACCCAGTTCTTGGGTCGTACAATGAGACAGACCCATCATCGCGGCCGCATAGGACAACATCCCTGTCACTGTTCACTGCAATAGCGCTGATCTTGACCTTGGTGTCCGTGGAAATCGCATCTACAAACGATTGCGACGAGTTTTCGCTCGTATCATCACCGACTGAACTCCGAAGGAGCATCGGCGGTTCCCAAACATTGCATTGCGATCCTCTAATATCGACACAATGCAGGCTATCGATGCTGAAAGATAGCTGTTTTATATGGAGACTCGATGCTTGGACTCGGTAAAGCAGCGTGAGGGTATCGAATTCGTATATCTGAATTGCTCCGAATCCAGCACTTCCTGCAAGCAGGCGTCCGTCTGGACTGGATGCGAGCGTGTGGCAATTCGCGCGATGACTTTCCAGAATTTGATCGTCAAAAGGATTGAGAAGAACAAGTTCACCATCAAGGTATGATGCAACAAGCAGACCAATAGCTGGGTTGGGGTTGAATACCAGGGCTGTCACCAAATGCGTGCTCGTTCCACCATCGGAAAGTTTTTTGCCGCAAGAACCAAAATAAGCATCTTCTTCGAGGTCCCAGAGAGCAATCGGTCGTCCACTATATGCGACTGCGAGCATTCTATGTCCGAAGGAGATTGAAATTGCGCTTGGAACTCGCCTCGATCGCGCGCAGTCGTCATCGCCTGTGTCATTCCACGGCCTGTCTGGTTGTCTAGCGCCATTGTTGTTCAGGTCCCAAGACGCCAAGTAATTTTTGTACGTTGGAATAACCAGGAAATCTTCGTCGAATGTAAGTCCTATAGGCCTAGCCGCCACTTCGAAACTGTAAAGGATATGACCGTTCCGAAAGTCCCATACTGAAACCTTCTTCAACCCACACGAGGCGAGTAACTCCGCCTTGGTTCCGAACTGCAGGAACAGAACCGCCTCTCCATGATCAAGCTTCTTGTATTCCTGACAAGTGGTCACGTAGTACACGAATATCTGACCGGTACTCAACCCCACCGCAAAAAACTCGTGTCCATGGCTGAGTGCGCTAGTTTGGCCTTGATGGAAATCAATGCAAGAGAGTCGATCATCCCACAAAGCGTTCGACATTCCAATAACAGATATCTTTCGCCCGGGGCTTGCAGTCTTGTGCACTGTCGATTCTAAGGGACAGAATTGGGGTATCAGCGAGTATATCGCCGACGGTAGGCTGATGAGAGTATCTGAGAACTTTGCGGCAATTCTGATCAAGTCCGTTATCCAACCTCTCACCCTTTGTAATTCAGTCGCGAGCGGTGACCGCTGGCCGGAGCAGGCATTCAAATATATTTTCAGGTTCCTCGCAGTGCGGATGAGTGGCATGAGATTCTTACTTCTAGCGATAACTTCGATCCATGAAAAGACGTTGGTTTTCAGGAACTTGTCAAGTAAAGTCAGAAGGTCGTCTGCTAGTGGATTGGCCTTCATTAGGTGATAAGAGAATTGTAAGGAAGCGTAGCTAGAGAACTCGCTTCGCTTGTCGGCTGGGGTCCTTGAAATGGCTCGCCTATTGGTCCTCGGTGGCCTCATCTCCTCCCCTGCAAGGTACGTAAGGCAAGCTCTTGCGATACGCGTATGAGCATCGGCCGTATCGATCGCGAACTCTGAATGCAAACTGTTGTTCAATAGAAACTCCCTAGCAGTTTCATGCACCATCTGGACTCTGTCAAACTTATCAATAGCCACCAGCTGCCCGCACAATGCACTTATGCTTTCCCTCAATCTAGGGAATATATCGTTGATATCTAGTTTCAAAGCTTCTTCAAGCTCCTCCACAGTTAGAGGCCGCGTTACAGTTGTAACCCAGGCAAGGATAGCTTTAATCAGCCTCTTGCCACGTGTAGTTCGTGACATCAAGTCTAGTGTTCTCAAGTAAAGTTCTTCCATGTCCTTGGGCACTTCCGCGAGGGCCTGGCGAATCTCCTCTTCCGAATGTGAGTCAGACAACTCATTGAGAACCAAAACAGTCCAAAGCCAAGATCCTTGAGACTTCGCTAGAATTCTTTCCGCCAAAGCAGCACGATCAGCCTCGGTTCTGACAATTAGGGTACTGGCTTTCGCTCGAACAAGCGATTCCAGGTCATTCTTCGTGTCCGCAGATGAGATAAGCTCCGCTCGGACTTGGTTATTTCCTAACATTGTAATACACCTTTCGATGTCCGACGTTTGTCGGCTTGTGACCAGAATTCTCAGCGGGACTGAGGGATCAAGCTGGCCAAGCACAATTTCGAAGAAAGAGGACAGGTTTGCACACTCATCGAGAGCATCAATGACCCAGTAGTGTCGACGGAATTCTGTTCTAAAGATCCCAGACGAAAACAATCTTCGCCAGAGGATACGGTCCTCGTGACCATCGAGCTTTACATCGCTTTCACGCATGTCAAGCAGTAGTTGCAGAATCCCACTGTTTGCGCAAGCCATTTGAAAAGCGAGAGATCGAAGGCAGGCACTAAGCCGTGACTTGGACTTCTCCCCGTGTTTGAAAAAGAAGAAGCTGCAAGCTTCATGCTTCATGCGTAACTGAGAAATCAAGTATCCTGAAAGTACCGACTTGCCAGACCCAGGTTTTCCGAAGAGCCAAAGCACACGTGCAGCATTGGCGTTGTCATGCCACTCTAGGTAACTTTTCTTCGATTGTATCCATTCGCAAGTCCCCGGCAAGCGGGCATCTTGAACGAGTATCAAGTCGTCCTCCAACTTGTCGGACACGTCTAGGTATTCCCCCAGGTCTTTGATGTTGCTCCGAAGTAGCCTCTCCTTCGATTTCAGCGCTGCGTTCAGTTCAGCGAGCAGCTTGCGAGATGTAGGACTGGATAATACTCGTACCTGATACCGTGGCACTGTTGATTGTGGACGCGAGTGCATTGCGGATGAGTATATAATTTGGATCGCTTGGCGCTTCGAATTTGCATATGGAGCGATGGTCCGCGTTCAAAGGTATTCGTTTCTCTTCGCGATATCCAAGTGTAGCCGAGTCGGGATCAACGATCAGCACACGGAAAACACCTAGGCTGAGCTTTTGTGTTTCGTAAAATGACCAAAGATCTATGTCTTCTGAATGCCTATGGAATTCGTCATTAATCAAGTTTATAGCGTCCGATCCGCGCTTCAGGTCTGAGACGTAGGCACGCGACGAGTACGCGATGTTGAGGATATTGCTTAGAAGCTTGGCAGAATCAGAGCCTCGGTGAGGTGTCGCGAGGAAGTACATGGCACGAATTCTTTTGACCAGATAGCGATCTGTCGCATCTTGCTTTGCCAACAGAAACGCCTTTTTGACGACCAGACCGCCCATGCTGTGGCTGATGAAAACGATTGGTGTATCTGCATTGTGCAAACGGGGTGAAGTACTCAATTCGCCCAACAAAGATCGGGCGAAGTGATAGATGTCCAGGCAATTATCCTTACCCTTGATCCAGTCAGAATCATATCCGAAACTGTGCACCCGAGCATTCTTAAACGCGGGATCCCTAGGAAGCCATTCCTTTGGCCAGTAATGCGAAGCAGAAGTTGTTTTACTCCACGTTTTTCTGGAACCACCTCCGAGACCATGAACGAATATCAAATCGATTAGAGGTTGTTCTGGAGAAGCCAGAAGATTCAGTCCTAGGGGTCCTCGGAGCTCTTCAGTGCTAACTTCTGTGGCAAATTTGCTTTCGACATCTGTCTCAGTCGTTTGGACAGTGCTGTGACTGAAGATGCTCGTTGCAGAAACCTCACTCCCTTTACGATGCGAACTCTTGAACGAATCCACCAATATGGGTCAGCAGAGGCATTAAAGATCGTAAAATTTAGAACCGTAGTTCGGAAAAAGCTTACCATACTGATGCGGCATTGTCTCTTAAGTACTTTGGCCCAGAGATGTGCTCTGTCCCAGTTTCAGAAGTCGGAGGAAATCGAGATGGAAGTCCTCTACGCCACTGATGGGAGCTCGCTGGCCCGTTGTGCTACGTGATCCATCTGCGGAGAAGCATTGCTAGGTCTAGATCCAATAGCTCCACTGTCCTGGTTAGTTACCAACAGGCACTGGGGTGATAAGAAGGGTCAGCATTATTAGTCGAACATAAGTCCAGCAGCGTAAGGTACACTGGTGGTCACTGTTTTATTTGGGGACGAACACGGCCCAGCCTGCAGATGGATGGGCGAATGAATGGCCATTGTTTGGCGCCCACGACTCAGGCTCGAGATGAGGGGTAGTTTTGTAAAATGTAGTTGAAACATAATGTCCGTCCTGGGTCAAACTCTTCAATTTCCAGTCAAGGATCGAGACTTCTTCCAATGTAGGTTATGGATTCCTCTTGAAAATTTCGCCGGGCATTACTCCTTACGCAAACACTTTTGGTAGTGTTAGACATAGCTATTCAATTTGATGGAAAAGGCTGTTGGTGTTATTTAGGCTGTTAGCCCTATTTTGGCAAGGCTATCAATACAGCCTAAGGCGTAAAACGGGAGACTTCCTCAACAAGATAGCTACTTTTTCATGCATGTACTATTTTGTCGCTTGTCTTCGTTCCACTGACAAGATCTTCGTGCTCGCGTTTTCTCACATTTGCTCAAACTCAAGGCTTCAGTTTGTTTAGACATTCAGCGACATAATTCAGACCACGTTTCAATCCAGTGAACCTGCAATTCCGGCTGATTCACAACAGCATAAGACATTATGACAGCCGAAGCTTCCCACCCAACAATTGCGGCAGGCGATCATAAAGCTTATATGAAATATGCTTTAGAGAAAGCTCGATTGTCCCCGCCAGCGCCCACCAAGTTCTGCGTTGGTGCGGTTCTTGTGGACGCAGATAAGAACGAGATCTTGTCAACGGGATACTCGATGGAATTGCCTGGGGATCGGCCAGGAGATCCAGGCAATACGCACGCAGAACAATGCTGTTTCATCAAAGTCGCAGAAAGACACAATATAACAGAAGACCGATTGGGCGAGGTGTTACCCAAAAACACAGTCCTGTATACGACGATGGAGCCGTGCAACGAGCGACTCAGCGGGAACAGGACATGCGTGGACAGGATATTGAGTCTCAAGGGCGCAGTTAAAGTGGTCTACGTGGGAATCAAGGAACCGGAGACGTTTATCGGTCAGAACCTGGGCAGGAAGAAACTTGAGGACGGTGGTGTTATTGTTGAGCATGTTGAGGGTATGGAGCAACAGATTCTGGCAGTATCTATGGCCGGACATGATAAATGAACCGTGGTTTTGAAGAGATGTACATAATGCTATCTCATTTTCTCGTCTAATCTGGAGAACTGATTATCACAGACTACATCGCCGTTTAGATAAGGGCCATGGCTCTCTGATAATACTTCAATCATAACCCGAGTAGCAGAGCTGACTAGAGAATGCAAGTCTGTGCAATTTAGCGCCGGAGAGTGTTGGCGGCGAGGACGTGAGACAAGATACGTATCAGGTCAAACAGATGCTATCCAGCAGGCCTTTTCCCCTCGGTTTAATGTAGCCAAGCACCTCAAGACGCACTCTCTACTATCCAATCGTTGAGTAGTAGGTTTCCTCGCTGGCGCTTGTTTAGATCCCGGCGATTTGATACTTAGCGCCCCTCTCCATCTTGAATCCCACCCCACACTTGAGCAAAATGTACATATATTCGTTTATTTCGGCCGTCTGATTTTAAAAGATACTCGTATATGTATACACTATATTGAAGAAACTGTGACCGCATAATGGATGACTCCGAGGACATTGTTGATCCTAGCGTCGTTGCCGGTTGAGTGCCTCGACGTACAGCAACTCCGAATGACCACTAATTTATTCGCAGAATTACCAAAGGGGTGCAGAGTAACATCTGTTGAAAGCCATGGCATCAGTTTCTGGGCTAACACAAACCGTCTCGACGTCGAGTTAGCCGACGGAACACCTTTATCGTTCTTCATCAAGGTGTTATCTGGCAGAACTGGCAAGAACATGGTTCACGGAGAGTATGAGTCCATGAAGGCAATCTACACGGTCTCCCCAGAATTCGCTCCAAAGCCAATTGCATGGGGCTCGTTCATAAACACGCCGGATATGCACTTCTTCCTCTGCGAGTACCGCGAGATGTCGAACGAAATGCCTGACCCGCATAAGTTCGCCGCACGGCTAGCAGCGCTGCATCAGGGCAGCGTCTCCCCAACCGGCAGATTTGGCTTTCATGTTACGACATATAGTGGCAATCTTCCCCAGACCAACGAGTGGGAGGACAGCTGGGAGGTATTCTTTACAAAGAATATGAGATGGGCACTCGATTGCGAAATTGCGGCCAAGGGATATGATGCTGAATTCGATGAACTTGTTCCGGCCCTATTCGACAAGGTCATTCCTCGTCTGCTGAGGCCTCTAGAAACTGAAGGAAGATTTGTGAAGCCTTCCCTTGTTCATGGTGATCTGTGGTATGCAAATTCTGGTATCGACCTGGAAACCAACGAGCCCTTGATTTTCGATGCATGCTGCTTTTATGCCCACAACGAATGTACGTGAATGGCATCCGTCAGTTAACGCATTGTACTATGACTGACAAGAAATAACGGTCCGCAGACGAATTCGGTCAATGGCGACCTGTCTGCAATCGCTTCGGGCCCGAGTATCTGACCGCGTATCACTCATATGTTCAAATCTCGGCACCGGAAGAGGATTATGATGGTCGTCTTGACCTATACAAATTGTGAGTAATTCCAGGCCATGTCGACATTTTGAGTCTGCTGACTCGAAGCAGAAGATTCAATACACATGTATCTGCGTTGTTCAAAGATAACCAAACATTGAGAGAGCAGTATGCGCCATGCCCGATCCTCTTCGTTACTGACCGGCAGAAATTAATTCAGAACAGGGTACTCGGTGATATGAGAGACATAGTCCGAAGGTATGGATGAATGACGGCCAAACGCATGATAAAGCAGGTAGGCATTTCTTGGGTAGACTGGATCAAAATTGCTTGTAATCGGCAATTTTGGATATTGGAGAGATATATAATGGACATTCAATGTTTCCTTATTTTGTAGAAGTTACGCTGGCTCTTCTTTTTTGGTAGATCATGATCCCCGACGTTAACTTAATCTTGACAGTGGCTTGATGACTCGAGCTTGTGTAGTTGTCCGATCGGGTACCTGAGTACCTGACACATGGTCATGCGGCCAACATGTTGCTTTTTTTCTGCACCGCAGATGCTGTACATAAAAGCTTTGATGGTCACAATCGGAGGCTAACTGATTACGTAGGGCATAATTCTGCCATACAAACATCCTAGAACTAAGTTATAGATTCGGAGCTGAGGTAAGTAATTCTTCTGCCACGGAATGATGAGGTAGCATTCACATTCAGGCCTTGTGCTCAAATATGAGCCACCTAAACGACCGGTGGTTGTGAGGACACACTACATAAGTTGTCTTCAGTGAAATGGAGGAGGCGGATGGGGACTGGAGACCAGCAAGGCTTCTGCGAGCTTGCCACAGCTCTGAAGCTGATTTCCGTCTGTGGTATGTTAGACGAGATCACGTGAAGGAGAGCTCCCATTTCCCGCCAACTGGGCGAGTCAGCCCTTCTGTCGAAGTAAGGTGGGATCCAGTAATGAATTGATCCAAACTTCAGGGTAAATTTGCTTTCTTAGACTATTTCCTTGGTGGATGTTTCATGGCCTACCTAGATATACAGACGCATGGCAAAGATCATGGCATGCGTTGAATGCGGAGACCTATGACGTGGCACGATTGGCGGCGGGGAGAGAACGGTGGGAGGGGTAATTTGTGGCTTGGAGCACAGCTCCTCCGTCGATGCTAGTTAGCTCCAAACGGTCGAGATTCAAAACTGCCCCTCCTTCACAATTTTCCTCTTCCCCTCTCTCCTTATCATCACATACCAAAAAACATACTTTCTTCTTTCAAGATCGATAAAATCAGCAACCATGACTATCAAGACTTTCTTCGATATCAACATTGACGGTCGTAAGTTTTCCAGTGGTTCTATCCTCCAGGCGAGGGACATGTTCTGATGATGATTATCCTCCAGAGCCGGCTGGCCGCATCACCTTCAACCTGTTCGACGACGTCGTCCCCAAGACCGCTGAGAACTTCCGTGCTCTCTGCACTGGTGAGAAGGGATTCGGCTACAAGGGTTCCAGCTTCCACCGTATCATCCCCCAGTTCATGCTCCAGGGTGGTGACTTCACCAAGGGCAACGTGAGTTCACCCATCAAGCCTACTCTGGCGCTTGTGCGGAAAGAGAAGTTCCGAAATATACTGATCTCTGCTGTAGGGCACTGGTGGCAAGTCCATCTATGGTGAGAAGTTCGCGGATGAGAACTTCAAGCTGAGGCACGACAAGCCCGGTCTGCTCTCCATGGCCAACGCCGGCAAGAACACGTACGTCGTTATCCCTGGTATCTCTTGCTCGAGTTCAGCAAATACTAAACAAGTAGCACAATAGCAACGGCTCCCAGTTCTTCATCACCACCGTTGTTACGGACTGGCTTAACGGCGCTCACGTCGTCTTCGGTGAGGTCGCGGACGGCATGAACCTTGTCAAGCAGATCGAAAGCTACGGCAGCTCGTCCGGTACCCCCAAGAAGAAGGTTACTATCGCCGACTGCGGTCAGCTGTAAAGAGCAATTGTCCTTGCCTGATTGCGTCGGACTAGTTGCGCCATTGATGCTCCATTTGAATACTGCTGAATAGCCCAATGAGAGCCAGTGACTAGGTCTTTGAACTAGTGCATTCCATCCACTTAAGCCTGTAATCCTTGTAGCTTTGGTGACCAAAGTGCACTCAGATTCAATATTAGCAATCCCGAATCCCATGCAAGATCTGATATGATACGAATACTAAGCCCTGCTAAAACATTTACATTACATACGCGGGCCCCGTTCAGCTCGGGAAAATGTGCTGCATGACTCCAGGGTGTAATACTCAATACAGTAAGAGCTATGAGAATTTGATATGCACCTCTTTACATCATAAAAGCAACCTATCGATGGCAGAAATTTGGATTGACCTAATCTTCTTCTCAGTAAGACTCTCAAACCTCAGTCTTCCAGCTGCTTTCAGCTAAGAAAAAAGGGCCAAGCAATCTTCTACTCCACCTTCAAGCCGTGGCTCACCGACCCTCACTTCTACATGAGAGCAGGAGTAGTTCATTCGCTAGTCCTACGGTCATTGGCAATGTTTCTGTCAAGCAGAGCTTCAACCTTACGTTTGGCTGGCTCAGAAGGACATGAGACTTTACACTATCAAGACCTGCTCTCTTGTCCGTAACGCTAGATGTCATGTGTGATCGTACGTGAAACGAGACTGACAAATCAGTGTTCGTCTCAAAGAATGTGAGTGGAAAGCGAAAGAATATCAGTGTGTGATCATTCTCAGGAAATAATATAGGAAGAAAATGAAGTTCAAAGGTAGAGCAAAGTAGCTGGAAAAGGAGGGAAATTCCGGGGTGCAGAACGTTCTATTCTATGAGTATACACTAAGTATTTTGATGTAGCTGTGTCTGAAACGGGTTTATTTTGAAGTTACAACGCTCTAAATGGATCGTCAGCTTCGCAATCGCATATTTCAAGGAGAAGAACGAAATAACTCACAAATTCTTTCACCATCCTGATTTCTCCATGCCCAGAATCATCCTCTGAGAGACTCAGGCGGGAGATCTCTGGTGGCGGGACAGCACGCACATTCACGCCCCCTGCAATATGTACGTCATGTTTCCCTTGAGTTTCATATTCCAGATTCTGGTATGCATTCTGGTTCCTGTCCTGCAGTGGAATAGGCAGTCCATTCCAGCTGGTGGTGGTGATGGAGCGTTTCTTGATACGGGCAGAGGAGCCGCTGCGGTTGTAGTGGTTTGCGGCGCGCTCAGACGAGTTATAGTTGTAGTTGTAGTTATAGTTGGCGCTGCTGGAATGGCTCGTGATGAAGGTCTTGAAGGGAGGTAGGCAGCCGACAATCATGGCTTTGCAGGTTAGCGTTGGCTGCACAGTAGATGCTGGATATAGTACATACAGATTGAGGACTCGGCGATGCCCCAGACGGCCAGAGCAGCTGGATCCGAGTACGCTTTGCCGGTAATTGCTACAGCACGAATAATTGCTGCGGCGATGATGATAAATCCGAGACAAAAGACTGTGGCTAGGCCGAGTTTCTGGTGGAGGTTCATCTTGGTCTTCCACAGGATTCGGAGGGGGAGGTACATAACTGTGCATCTCGTTAACACTTCTCGCAACACGACTTTAGGGGTCATACTCATCAAGTCGGTAAGAATGTCGACAGCCGTACTGTAGCAGATGGAAATGACGGATCCTCGGATGTCGATCGGTTTGGTGCATTTTCCTGAGACGGTCAGCTGAAGTACACTAACGCCCAACGACCACAATACCGAATCTAAAATAATCTGACGGAGGATGACAGTTCAAGATCGAGGCCAGCCAGCATCCAATGTACGCAAATACCGCGAACATTGTGACTCCCCACCAGACACGGCGATAATGCGGCAAGCCATCCGAAATGAGCCAAAACAGCGCCAGGAATGAACCCTTGATGCTCCAGAGCACCGACCAGAAAATGCCGATGATGACGAACTCATAATGCGTGTACTTGAGACCATGATAGACGATATCCGGCCCGGTGACGTTCAATACCATGTAATAAAGGTGGGGGGCTTGCAAAGTCTGGAGGATCGCATTGGTGACTAGGAAGACGAGGGCCAGGAGGACAAAGTAATCGTCGACCAGGAGACGCTTCATGCGTTTGATGCGGATAGCGAAGCGAATGGACGCGAAGATGATGCCTAACCCGGCACCTGTCCAGGTTACTCCAATGAGTCCATTGACAGAGAGATGAGTTGCGATGCCCTGAGGGGCTATATTGGCCATGAGGAGTCGGAGGGGAATATACGTCTAAGAACTAGAGGCACTCCACAGGGAGGGAATAGATTGACAATATATTATAGCCGGGAAGCCGACATTGCTTCTGTCATTCCGCATGGCTACAAGGAAGAGAGTCCTGTCAGAAGAGTGAAGATTTGACTTCGTAAGGTGCATATTGACGGCAGAACCGGTCCAACAGGAGTCGAAACAAGGGGAAAGCCCCGTTCCAGACTTCATGGCCCGGACTCTCGCTGAGTAGGCTGCTTTGTATGGGCATATGAATTACTTGAGTGCCAAAATCGTTCGTAAATGGGGGCGAAATCTCTTCCTTGGGCCGGATACTGGATAACTATTGGAATGGGTAATGATTGAAGAGCGCACTAAATAAGACTGGCAAGGAGCGGTTTCAACATCCTGGTAGAGGGGACTTCATGGCTGGATTTCCGTCAATAATAGATAGTGACAGACATGGATTCATTGGGCTAGCAAGGATTATGCGAGGCTAAGCAAACCATCTCTGCTGCAACCAATTCAACGGTGTTGCAGTTTGACCACTTGACGGCATTTATATCGCGAGACTTGTCTAATATACAGATCGCACGTACGTGATCTTGATAACCAGAACGATCAACAGATCATCACAAAATAGAAGTCTGATAGAGTCTTGTCATTAATGATCGGGAGACTAATCGACCAGATCAATGAAAGCTGACCAGGACTAAATCTAAGCGAAGCAAAGGAAATGAAGCGATTCCCAGCAGGGAAATGCACCGGAGACGCTAAATCACAAGAACCGCGCAGTGCGCCGAGGGACCGACGGTATTGACACTTCCCATGTCGCTGTCTCAGGGTCATCTCCGTCCAAAGACTGCAAGAGACCATTCAGAGGTTGCTTCGAAATGAAGCCACCGTTTAGCTCCATCTAGTTTGCTGCTAGTGTCTCCCACGCTCCCTCGCTTAAGTCGCATCCACTTCTGTCAGGGCCCCACTGCCCCGTTGTTTCGAGTCCCGATCCTGGAGATTCTGGACAGTTGAACATACTCGCCAGGTGCCCAATTCATGATAGGTACCTAGGTATTATTCTTTTGCGATTTCAGGCACGTCGGGATGGACGGTCTCTCTCCTTTTCGTAGCAGTGGCCAACTCGAATCTAGACCACTGAGTAATGCTTTCAATCGCCCAAAATTATGATGATTACTTGATAAACACCGTTTAAAGATCATCCAGCACTGCCATCGCCGAGTCTACTCCATTCCCCAGGCACGTTCACAAGGAATGAAGCTAAGCACCTAGCCGATGTCACCGACCTGCGCACTAATTCCAGTAGTTCGACGCCAGGATGGAGTTGACGAGCTCGCCAATCAATAACGGTCTTGTCTAGACTCGAGGACCATGGTTGGTACCTGCATAAGCATAACTGCATCCATACATGAATGTTATGCAAGTGCACCACCTGGTTCCTGATACTTAAATGCGGCACCCAACGTCCTTCTCGTGGCGTTGATATTACTTGCTTCCAACGGCTGTCATTCGTTCCTTGCCGTCGTTCCTCTTCTTTTCTTTTTTTTTGTTTGTACTTTTAGTCCAAATGGGCTCCACGCTCCTTTCATTACTAGCCCTGTCTGGGCTCAGTTACGCTACCTTCGGACCCTCGTGCAAATGCGCAAGTATTTCGCTCAATAGAGAACCAAAACGAAAGCTGACATCTCAAAGGCACCAGGTGATTCCTGCTGGCCCTCCATCGATACCTGGAATGCCTTGAACTCTTCCGTCTCCGGCAAACTCATTCTCGATACGCCACTTGCCATCTCCTGCTACCCCGGTCCTTACCAGAATGAGGAACAGTGTGCCTACGTGTACTCGCAATGGTACAATTCCACCTTTCAGTCTCTCTCTCCAGTCGGTTACGTTTACCCGACCGATGACTCGTGTCCTCCTGTCAATCTGAGCTCCGGCGAAACCCCCGGAAAGTGCACCCTGGGCCAAGCCCCAGTGTACACAATCAATGCGACAGAACCAGAGGAGCTGGCAAAGGGCATTGCCTTCGCGAAGAAGAATAACGTGCGTTTGGTTGTGAGGAACACAGGTCATGACATCCTGGGGAAGTACGTATCTGTTCCTGCCGCGCTTCTACGGAAAAGACTGACAGAACAAGGTCGGAGGGATATGGCGCTCTCCAAATATGGATCAAGTACATTCAGAAGGGTATCACATACCAGGAGAGCTATAAAGCGTCAGATGGGTGTGTCAAGAGTAAATGGACCGGTAATGCCTTTACCGTCGCTGGAGGTTACGTCTGGCAAGACGTGTATGCCGAAGTCTTCAAGCGCAACTTGACTATCGTTGGTGGCGGCGATCCCGTAAGTTCTTCCGGCTTTCATTTGATCAGTGCATAGACTGACCCTATAGACTGTCGGTGTCATCGGCGGTTACGCCCAGGGTGGCGGTCATTCACCCGCCAGCCGCGATTACGGTCTCGGTGCCGACCAGATCCTCGAAGCGCAAGTTGTTCTGGCCGATGGCAGCATTGTCACCGCAAATGCTTGCCAGAATTCTGATCTGTACTTTGCTATCCGTGGCGGTGGCGGAGGCACCTACGGCGTGGTCATCTCCATGACCTTGAAGGCGTATTCCACCCTGCCTGTCGTCGCACAGTCTCTCACCATCACTCCGCTGACCAGCAACACTAACCCTCTCCTGGATGCTATCACCGATATCTATGGTCAATATCCTGCTCTGTCTGATTC